TTCTTCTTCCCCTTTGCCCTTCACTGGTTCCTGTTTCAGAAAATCTCATTTAGTATTCTATTTACTGGAGAATATTAAGGTGAAAAAAAAAAACTACACCGTGTACCCCATCTTTTTTAAAAGTTCATGAAGTGAATTCCTTCTTGACTCTAGCAGGCTGCTACTTAACATTAACCCTATTTTAGCATAAACACACCTAAATATAATTACTCGCAAAGCTACATGACCCACATAAAAAAATAATCCAATACATCCATGAGCTTCTGAGACAAAGCAAAAATGAAACACAGGTAGGCTACATGCTAGTTAAAAGAGGTACAGAAGTTTTTATACACTAAAAAGCTGCAGAGAACACACCTCAAAAGAAAAAAAGAAATCATGTAATACCTGAAAGTAATCTGTGATGAAGGATCCGAGCTCACTCTTCAGCAGCCGTCTGCAGACAGAGGGAACACATCCGTGAAGAAACAGCCATTGCTGGTCACTTTTCATAGGCACATCTACACTTTGCTGCCAGTCAACCCCAAGGCACACAACTACACAGGAATGTTGCATTGTAGCCACAGCTATGCTCTGTTTACATCTAAGCATACATTGTACTAATGCCAGCAGAGGCAGTGCTCAAATTACAAAGGAGTGAATTAGGTCCTCTGAAGTATTTTAACTATAAGCAATACCTCTATAACAAGCAAGAAAAGCTGACCTCCTGCATTCACAGAGAGATGGATTTCTTTATTTAGAAATTCTTTTTTCTGTTCTGATTTTCCTTTAAACAAAGCTGCCTTTCATTTCACTGTGAATAGTGTATATCTGTAACACTGTACTTCCTTTTCTCTTGGAAGTAGAAGGTGGTCGAATAAGACAGGAGTACAAGGGTAAACATGCAAGCAGAAGCTGTGGCTTCCCTGTGACTACCACATTAAAAAACAAAAACAAACAAACAAAAAAAAACCCACGTTTCTCAAGAGAACAACTGTAGAAACTGAACAAGAGGCAGGTTGATTATATACAGGCAGAAGCCACTGATCAAATATTTCTGATTAGTAACTGCTGATTTTAAAACAGGCCACAATAACTTTTTTTTTCAATTCTGCAATGTATTTATAGTTCAAAATTCTCATATAAAAATCAGGATTGATTTAAATGAAAATGTTCTGAGTATTTGCACTTTCAGCTGCCAGTGACTGTGACTGGAGCTGGTAATTCTGCTTCATATTTAAAAGCTGTCTAATACTTTCCACTGCAAAGTGCTGCATTTTTCCTCTTTGAGAGTTTTGCTTTTTATCAAGGAGAAGTAAAAGCATGAATGTTTGAATATGCCATTTGAGTCAGAGACACATCCAAGTCTCAGACTGGGTTCTTGCCAACAGAGTACACCATTTTTTCCCTAATCTTTGGTGAAAGTAGATTGGGGAACAGCCTTCCTCTCTAAATATTTTGTAAAACTTCTACATTTATTCACATGGAAATATGCTTTATCTCATAGAGCTTATTTTTACACTGTCCACCTCAAAGTGCATTTCTTTTCCTATGACCACCCAACATGAGCCTTTCGGGACCTGTTTTTGAGAAGCATTTCCATTAGCTTCAGCTGCATCCTAAGGGGAATGGCCAATTAATTCACACATCCATGAGGGAATTTGAGTCTACGGAGCAGGCCAGCTACCCTTTCAACTGAAGGCTTTCACTCCAGAGAGAACCTTGACGGTCTCCTGATGGTTGTGGCCAGGTCACCTCTTGCTTCCTGGGAGCCCCATTTTTTCAGTGACATTTCTAACATTCCTTCTTGCTGTGACATCTGACTTTGAGAACAGAAAAAAAAAAAAAAAAAAAAGAGGCACCCAGTGAGAAGATGGTATCAAATCATGGCAGGATGAAAATCTTGTGGCAGCAATCCAAAGTAAAATGTTACCACCTGTTCATCTCCTGGTCTTGTTGTTACTATCCTAATTTAAAACTCTTCTGCATTACCACATCAAATTAGGCACTGTGCAGAATCTGTAATTCTTTTAAGGTACTGCATTTGCTAACTTCCACCGATGATCTGAATGGAGAAACACAATCCAGAAAAATGCACCAGCTCAATCTCATGGTGCACAAGAGCTGGCCTTCTCACAGGTCTGGCGTTCTGCCACGTGTCAAGGGAGCCATTTGCCTGGTACACACAGCACTGACATTCTGCTAGAAGCTTTCTCAGGATTCACAGGTGCGAAGCTGCAAGTGGTGTACGCGCATACATGCAGATGCATGTCCTCCGCGCCTCAGACTGATGTTAATGAGCTACTTGAATGCTGAAGTAGACTATTTAGGGAATGACATTTGAGACGTAACCAGTGCTCAGGGCACCTGTAGGAACATTAATCATTATTTCAAGGTGAGTGCTTCCAAGTGCTACTTGTGAGTGCCTGTATCTGGAAGGGTGTATTTCCCTTCCCACCATGAGAACTGCTCATAAAGCATACAAATTTCACAAAGAATTTCCTGTTCTTCATACAGCTCTTGACCAACTAGATTGATTTCAGTAACCAACATGAACAGAGCATGGTCCAGCACAGGATCAGGACCAGCCAGCAAGGCCACTCTGCCTGGCATGCTGCTTCCCCATCTCCAGAATGTAGACAGAATGGCTACCTGGGGCACAGCTTGCTGCTGCAGCAACCAAACACCTTTCTTTGAGCCTGTTAAAAGCTGGCATTACCTCCCACATGAGTGAGACTACAAGTGCTCTAATGCTCTCTGTGATGCGTCCCTCTCCCTGTATCAAAGAGACCAGAGCAGCTCACAACAGGCAGCTTGTGCCTCCAAAGGCAGCCTAGCCATGAGCGGCAGCTCTTCCTCAGGTGAGGGGGAGGACAAGGGCCATGGGGCATGCAGGGGCCGGCAGGGACAGGCAGTAACACTCGATGCCACGTGCCAGGGTGGGAAGGAGCATCTACTTGCACAGAGGAGGGAAAGAAGGCTACAGCCACTGCAGGGAGCCACAGCCTGAGAGACGAGTGACAAAATCCAAATCCAGGCTCCAAGTCTGGGAAAGGGCTGTGGACCAGGGTATTTTCAAAGGCTTAAGACATTCATTTTTTCTTTCACATACAATATTCTTCACCTCACTGGGGATTAAACTACTGCAAGTACTGATGTCTAACCTGACAGCTCCTGGCTTAGGCACTAAGATGCTGTGGAAGCACAAGTGCCCGCCCTCCCTCTGCTTTCCAAAGGAGTTCTACAAGACTTCCACTTTGGGTCTAGATCAAGTAGGAGAGAGTCTCATGCTCTGCAAGTTGCATTCATTTTGAAAGTAGGGAAGGGGATAATTTAGACTGCTGTTTAATAAGGGCTCAAGCTCAACAGCTGACCAGCTGAACTTTAACCACAACTTGGCCCACAGCAGAAATGCAGCAAGGGCTGGGGCAGGGAACTCCATATAAAAGAGGAAGCTGAGACCTATGTGACAACATTCAAGATGAATGAATACGAATCCACAGGGAAGAGAGACGGAGGAAAAATTGCCTCCATAAGCTCTGTCAGCATTCTGCTTAGTACTTCTTGGAACCAAGGCATGAATAAATTGTTCTTTGTCTCCTCTGTAGTCCTGTTTACTGCAAACAAACTTTCCAAATAATCACAATGAAACCACAGAAAAACAGAAGACTAAAAACAGAGGATACTTCTAAACATTACTGTCAGCAGTATTAGTACCTGTTTGCTACATTTCTTTTTTTTTTTTTTTTTAATCTTCAGGGTTTATAATTTCAGGTCTTGCTCCACAATCACCACATTAAGTTTTTTTTTGAAATAGCCCAAAGGGGCAAATTCCCTAGGAGGGGACAAAATCCTTTGAATACAAGTAAATACACACACTGTCCTTTTCCCTGTCCTTTTATGTGCAAGTTACACATCCATATAAATCAGAGAAACATTATCCAAGATTTTAGTTTCATCGCACTCAATGTGACATTAACCTGAAAGTGCAAAGCTGTGCTTAAGTTTGCTTCTACCCCTTCTTTTCCCACCAATGTCCTCTAACTGCTGTTCTATACAAAATGAGCAAAATCAAACATCAAAAAGTCAGCAACAAAAAATCTTTTTTCATGCAGTTCAGCAACCTACCTGATATTTTCATTGAGCGTGTAAAGTTCATTGTTCTGCAAGCCTCCACCTTTGAACACATTTATCACTGCTGTTTGAACACTGTCAAAAAAGAAGTAAGACAGTACAGCATCCATAAATAACACCTGCCAGGATGATTTAACACAGAGAGCAATGTGAGGTAGCTGCCAAAAACTGAGTGGTTATAATGGGGGTGGAGAGGTTAATTGCACTTAAATACTTCCACTTTTTCTCCCCTGGAAATCATCACTCTTATTTACCTACAATCTCCCAAGGGAGACAGAGCAGAGCCAATGTTAAGCCAGGCCTGGAGCAAGCAAAGAAAAGCTGTTGTAGGGACACTGTTCTCAAAGAATACACTTGCATGGAGTATATCTTCAGTGTGGCTCTTTAGCTGGTCTCTGCTAGGTGCTCCAGAGCTAGTTGTTACAAGGATGTTAGCATGACTAGCCAAACTTCTCTACCTACAGCATTTGACAGGATCCTTGCTACATTGGAAAAAGCAGCAAGCCTCACTTAGTCAGAAACAATTTTAAGCCCAGTTAATGTCTGCAAAATGTGGTAAGTGCTGTTGGAAGATATTCTAATTAATACTCTTCTGACAGAGGAAGTCATAAACTGAGAGTACAAGAGGGCTTAGCAGGTGTAAAAGCTTGCAGCAGCCAATAAGAAGTTGCGTCATGCTCCTACAAGATGCTCCTTCCAGGGGCTGGTTACAGTACTTGCTTCATTGATCTCAGTTTACTATCTTGGCACAAACCTTTATGATGTTTCTACTGGACTACTTCTGTGTGACATTAGCAAGCTGAGCCACGTCCGCAAGAGATAGGAGTCTGCAGAGCAAAGGGCTGGTGCAAGGCAGAAGAAAGAAAGGTGGGAACACCCACTTTCAGCAGCAACAAGCCTTTAAATCAATTCAGGGTATTTCACATGTCATCCTACAAATCATTTTTCCAGTATTCATTGTGGCATGACATCTTCTGCAGACAGGATTTGACTATCAATAAGAAACATTAGTAGAAGTCACAAACTTCTTGTTGCCAAGGCAACTTGATTTTGATAAAAGTTTCACAACATGTTGCTCCGTTAAGAAATTAACCTTTGTTACATGGCTAGCAATGTGTTTTCTTTAACTAGTACTGAAGAGGTGTAACTATTAACACAAAGTAATTCTGACTTATTTCAAGACAGTCTCTCTGAATCCCAAAGAAGGCTAAACACTACTAGGTCTAAATATGTCATCTCTGCAGGAGGTCTTCCATATGGGCAAAGCTTCGGCATGCCAAAATTCATTCATACTCATAAACAGATAAGCTTAGCCATAAATGGTCCAAGGTATCAAAGATCAGGCCTTATCTGGCCATTGCAGACAGTGCTCAGCTGAACTGGTCCTGCTCACCTGTTCCACGCAGAGTTGGAGCTCAGCTGCAAAGCCTGACGGGTTGCTTGGAAACGTGGCAAGTCGCTGAGCACCGGGGAGCTCATGAAACGAGGTCTGGGCCTTCTGAACGAACCCATCTTGTACAACTGGAGAGCAAGCGATGGAGCCAGGGTGAACCCTCCAGTCATACAGTCAGATTGACTGGAGCAGGCCGGCAGAAAGCCTCTTCTCTTGAAGCGTCAATCTCAAGGATATCAATAAGTCTTCAAATTCTGCAGAAGCCTGCAGCAAAAGTAAAGAGTCAATCTCTGACTAGTAGCTCCCCGTCATTTTAGGTTGCAACATGGACTCGTATTCAAAACAATTTAAGTATTGAAACAATCCTGTGAACTAAGGAGAAAAGAAGACAGAAATATCTTATCCCACAAACAAAAAATGTGGGCAAACCTTTAAGATTTCTTGATCAGCTTCACACTCTTCCATTCCATCTCCAGTGCAGCCAGGAAAACAAGCCCAGTCTCTCTTTCCACTTCATCTGTCAGATGTGTGAGAACAGAAGCACCTAAACGCTTCTCCTGGAGGTACTTTACAAATACTTTTAAATATAGTCAGCCCTTCAGACTTATAAAATGGAGGGGGAAATTGGAGAGAGAAAAAAGAAACTACTTCACCAGAAAGCAGAAAGCATCAAAAGATGAACAACAGAACAAAAGATGAAGAGATGAACACAGTGCCTTTATTTTGAGAAGTGTTGCACAGGGAATAAAATGTTCTCACTATCAGTCCATCACAACAACGATGTAATAAGGAGCTTCTGCAAAAAAAGATCTGGCAAGGAGATATCTTGAGGTAAGCAGGACTTATCCTTTTCCCTCTACAGAACAAGAAGAAATTGCTTGACTAAATATAAAATGCCTGTGCTTTTCCCTCTGATCATCTTCATATAGAATAATATGCTGCCCTGAGTAAACCACAGTAACAGCAGAAGTTGGAATAGGTTTGGATAAAAACCACAGGAATTCTGGCAATGTTTCTGAACTTCGAAGTCTACCCACTTCATAGGAACACACGCCATAGATGTAGTCGGCAGTTTGGAGAATGGAGACATGGGAGAAAAGAGAAGAAAAGAAAAATAAACAAGGAAGTTGTGTAACTGAAGAGCACATAGTTGTAAAGCAAAATCCTCTCTTCTCCACCGCATCTTCAGAATGAGGTGGAGAGAGACATGATCAGCCAAAGAAATGCTGCCTATCTGCACAGAGCTTTAAATTGAACTAATTCTCAGCTTTAGGAAATGCTTCCCACTCTCTCAAACTGTAATTAACTCTTTTACAAGGATGAGAACAACCTTCCTCCTCCTGAGTGGCCCTGCTTCAAGCTGGGCTCACCTCACCATCCTGCCTCCACTTCTGCTTGTCACAGCCTGACCCAAGCACAAGGAAGCTCTGCCAGACACCACGGGCCCTGTGCCGAGGGAACCTAAACCAGCAGAAGGACTGAGTTGGGGCTAAAAGCAATAAAACAGAAGCCCTGCTGTTGAGGGAGATTTATTGCAAGCAAAGATGAGCTGGACTATGACTAGAGAGAAATGGGTTCACTTTAAGGCTTCCCAATCTGTGATGCAAAAGGGCACAGAAAGCAGCTCCCCACCCCCTTTAAAAGATATATGTTGGGACTGCCCCAGCCCTTCAGGCTTCTCACACATCTGAAAGGGAAATAACCACCAGTGACTGCATTTGTTAGGCACCGACACAAGTGGTGCTATCATTTTCTGCATTAAGCAAGAAATTAATACAGTTGTTACCCTGCACACACACACACACACACGGTTTGGCTGGAGCTGGAACACTCTGCTGCAAGCGTAGTTTTTTTCCTGACAACTCTTTGCTGCCTATGGTGCTGGCAACAACCTTTCACTGGGGAGCTGAGCTCTGACAGGCAATACTTGAAGGAGCAGCACACTACAGATTCTGTGACTGCTCTGTTCCAGTTAAAGCCCTAACTCCTACAAATTAACAGTAAATACAAACAGTATAAGCAAATCAGCACTGCCTTCTGTGTGCAGTTTGAAATAACATTTGTTTCACTTTACATTGCCCACACATTTGCAATCTGCCAGCGATTTCTGTATCGGCAGTTCTAACCACATTAGAAATTGTCAGCAGAAAAAAGCTACAGCACCTTGGAGAGCTGAGTGCAGACTTCTCTCATAACGTACCAAAAGGTGGTTTTGAGGCAAAGAATTAGTATAAATTAAAAGAATGTTTCTGCTGTGAAACAAGCAAATGTGCCAATATTTGTCATCTCTTAAGTTCCACAGCTGACAGCGTGCTGAGCTGAAAGAGGGTCACTTCTCCCAGTGCTGCAGTAAAACTTCCATTTCTAAATTTTGTGTACAGCAAAAGCAGTATATATTTTTAGCACTTTATAATGCAATATAAGAATTACTTTAGATCAGGGGTAGACATATAACAGTTTGAGAAAGCAGTGGTTAGGATGTCTGTGCTAGCCCACAATCCCTCTCCTATGAGCATTCCAGGCAGTACAAATGTTAAAACCCCACAAATATGTATTCCTCAAATATTCCTATAGCCCTAGCAAAGTCACACTTCGTATTTATAAAGTTGCATTTCAATTCAAAAATAAAAAATCTCTGCAATTCAGAGCTATGTTTACTTGAAAGTTAAAAGCATAAATTCAGAAGTACAAACAAGAGGCAAAATCTTTGGGGCCTTGCCTCACACACCGTTGAAGCCTGTGTAGGGAGTTTTTGGCCTGTTTTGTGCAAGAGGCAAAAGAGGACAATCATGAAGTTTTTTTCCGTGTTTGATCTATGGATTAATGAGACTCATGCCACAGCAACAGAACTATGGGATACGCAGGGCCCCATAGCAAATTTCCGGGATGCCTCTTCATAAAAGAAAATGCTTAAGTGCTTTTCCTCACGGAAACATGCACGTTGTTTTCCTTAGCCTCTGTAAAAGTCACCCAGACAGCTAATAACAAGTTCTCATCTGTGCAGAGAAGATAAGGCACTCCCTCTTCCCCCATTTTCCCACAATCTTACAGTCTGCAAATCTGTTTTACTGTCAGGTAAACTTTATTCTAGGTTCTCATCAGGAATTTAAGAAAATATCTTCTATTTTAGAGGCAGAGCCAGAGTCTGATTTCTAATTCTTCACAATTCAAAGATACAAATCTCTCCTGTCTTACCTAATTGTGACTCTTAAGTACCAGGAATAGTAAATAAATCGTTACTGTGAATACAGACTGGCCCTCACTTTCTACACTGACAAGTGGGCAAGCAGCATATGCATGTGCATGAACTTAGTTTATATTTAAAAAAAACCACAGACTGCATCTGCTACGACAATTTGAATTTACAACACATTTGGTTACTCTTCCAGCACTCATTTGCTTAAAAATACAAACCAAGAAAATTTTGCTTTTCAAAGGAGAAAAGATAAACAAATCAAGATTTATTCAGTAACTAAAAAATTTCCTTTCTGGACAACACCGATCAAATATGTGTCTCAGACATTTCAGAGGCCATTCAAAGCAAAAGTCTCGAAAACTGTTTTGGAAAGAAGACTGGAACCAAGTCTCTGGGTATGGGAGTTTTCTGACTTACACCCTCTTCCTTTCCTGCCTTCCCACCTTTAGAAATATGACTCATGGAAAACTCAGTGCTTAATCCACAGTCCACCAAAAGCAATAGGAATCGAACCACTGATCTTACTGTTTTGGATCAAACCCTCAAAAAGAAAGAGGAAGTGCAGGTATTTTCTCATCTTAGCAGTCCCCCACATTCAGAGCAATATGGGTGTGAAGATGACTTATTCTTTACGCTCTTATGTAAGAGACTATCTCTGAGCCCATGCTCAGGGCAAGGATGTAACTGGGAATGTGCAAGACCAGGTCTGACCATCTCATCAGTAGGACTGACTTGAGTTCCAGCTTTCACAAAACAGCTTTTTCCAACCACATATTAATGTTACTTGTTTCTGAAATCCAAGCAACAAAACCAGACGAGCTCGCAAACTTTGCAGGCAGAAATTCTCTCGTTAGGGTATGATTAAGGATCTCAGACCACGGACAGTGCCCATGTGCGCAAGGACAGGACCAAGCTGGGAGAAGGGAAGTGTTTGCTGCCGCGATCCTGCTGAGCTGTGCGTGACCTGCTGTCTCATGGGTGAATCCCATGCGGTGCCACAAGCCTCCAGTGCGGATTGCACACCAGTTGGTGGATACAGGACACGACCCACAGCCCTGCGGGCCCCGTCTGGCTGGCTGCGCAGCATCGAGCACGGCCAGGGGCACCTATCCCATCCAGGGCCAGCCCACACCACCGGCCTGCCCGCTGCTGGCCACCACAGTCTGCACATGTCTACGGGCCTCGCCTCTCTTTAACTAAACTTAAAAGGTTTTAACTACAAGGCATGTAAGAGAATCTGAGAACACCCTCCTTCTGGTAGTAAGCGTCGACCCTCTGGTATGTGCCCATATATCTGACAATCTTGTGGCTAACATTTAACTCTCTAAGACCTCACTTTCTCTATCCTCCTATTACATAACCACATCCACAAACACAAGCCCAGGGTCCCTGCCTTCCTCCTCCCTCTTCCATATATTTCTTCTCTCAGATTGGACCCACATCATATCTGTATTCCCAATAGATCCCAAACAAACTAATTAATAGAAAAATCCAATTTGACTTTGACAACAGAGACATCCATGTAACATTTGAAAAGGAACCCAGTGGTTTCCACTCTGTTATGCTTTTGAGTTCTTGAGGTTAAAGCAAACCTGAAACTCAAAGTGAAACTCTGGTAAGAGTGAGAGGAAATATATGAGAAATAGAGGGGAAAAAACCTTTGCTTCTCATATCCCACCATGCTTTGAGAAGCTTTTTGCAATTCAAAGACCACTGCAGTCCCTTTGGAGTTTATGGCCTGTCAGAAATAAGCAAACTTCACATCTACATAAATGACAACATGATTTCTTTTCAAAAAAGTCTAAGAAAAATTATGGCACAGAGTAAGTTGGTTCAACATGAAATCATGAAGTCATAATAAAGAATATATAGAAAAAGAACTATTTGTAACATAAGAATGGCATCTAAGACAACAAAATTATTTTGGTCTCTGCCACAGATCTCCTGTGTTACTGTAAAAATATTAATTACTTGTTTGGACTCACATT